ATCATTAATTTATATGATTTAGGTCCTCAGTCACACATCTAACATCCATAAGTGATGTAGGTCATCATTAATATATGATTTAGGTCCTCAGTCACACATCTAACATCTGTAAGTGATGTAGGTCATCATTAATATATGATTTAGGTCCTCAGTCACACATCTAACATCTGTAAGTGATGTAGGTCACCATTAATATATGATTTAGGTCCTCAGTCACACATCTAACATCTGTAAGTGATGTAGGTCATCATTAATTTATATGATTTAGGTCCTCAGTCACACATCTAACATCCATAAGTGATGTAGGTCATCATTAATTTATATGATTTAGGTCCTCAGTCACACATCTAACATCCATAAGTGATGTAGGTCATCATTAATTTATATGATTTAGGTCCTCAGTCACACATCTAACATCCATAAGTGATGTAGGTCATCATTAATTTATATGATTTAGGTCCTCAGTCACACATCTAACATCTGTAAGTGATGTAGGTCACCATTAATTTATATGATTTAGGTCCTCAGTCACATATCTAACATCCATAAGTGATGTAGGTCATCATTAATATATGATTTAGGTCCTCAGTCACACATCTAACATCCATAAGTGATGTAGGTCATCATTAATTTATATGATTTAGGTCCTCAGTCACACATCTAACATCCATAAGTGATGTAGGTCATCATTAATTTATATGATTTAGGTCCTCAGTCACACATCTAACATCCATAAGTGATGTAGGTCATCATTAATATATGATTTAGGTCCTCTGTCACACATCTAACATCTGTAAGTGATGTAGGTCACCATTAATTTATGATTTAGGTCCTCAGTCACACATCTAACATCCATAAGTGATGTAGGTCATCATTAATTTATATGAAGTAACAACAACGATGTAGGTCCTCAGCAACAACTCGATGAAGGTCCTTAGTAACATATGTGTTGTAGGTCCTTAGTAACGCATGTCTGTAGGTCCTGTCTAACCTTAGACCTACCATCTCCCAACAACAAGACTCGTGTATTTATCTTTCTACTCTATTGACAAGACGCACCAAACTCCGCGCCAGTTTAGTCTACGTCACATTTCACAAAATTCTACTCACACAGTTCACAATAAGCCTCATCACGTGACTTTTTTCTTGCCATCTTTCAAAGTCCCACCTCACTCGTTAATTATAAACAACCATTTAAAATAGAACTTTTTTAAATTGTCACATATCACACCACAGATTGTTATCAAGTTTCCTCACACTAATTTGTCACATGAATATACAATTTACATGAATATACAATTTTCGTTACGATAATATTAATACATTGGAGTTAATGAATACTAGTAAAAAAAAATTTACCTTTTATTACTAAGTTTTTTTCTTTTCTGTATATAAATATGTGTGTATATAAATAATGTGTGTATTTTGCCAATTATGATAAATAACATGGGGTTTCGCTAAATACATATATTGCTATATTATCCTCATTATTTACGGGTGATATTTTTTTCTTCTTTTTAAATTAAAAAAAAATTAAATGATGTTCGTTGTTTGTCTATTTTTTCAACAAATTAAAAAAAAAAAACATTAATGAATTTTGCACTGTTAAAATCCATTTCGATTCTTCGTTATCAATTCTCTCGTTAATTAATCGTTAAAAATGATTGTTAATTAGCGCCTAATTAGCTGCAGTCTGCCTTATTTTAATTACACTAAAACTCATCGCAATGGATCACACAGATTTCTTAAACTTTGGTTGAGCCAGGGTGATTAACAATTTGTTTTTCTCTGAGAAATTGATGATCTTGTGTGATTGTACCAGTCTCCATCTTGTGTGATTGTACCAGCACCCATCTTAAGTGATTGTACCAGCCTCCACCTTGTGTGATTGTACCAGCCTCCATCTTGTGTGATTGTACCAGCACCCATCTTGTGTGATTGTACCAGCCTCCACCTTGTGTGATTGTACCAGCCTCCATCTTGTGTGATTGTACCAGTCTCCATCTTGTGTGATTGTACCAGCCTCCATCTTGTGTGATTGTACCAGTCTCCATCTTGTGTAATTGTACCAGCCTCCATCTTGTGTGATTGTACCAGCCTCCATCTTGTGTGATTGTACCAGCACCCATCTTAAGTGATTGTACCAGCCTCCACCTTGTGTGATTGTACCAGCCTCCATCTTGTGTGATTGTATCAGCCTCCATCTTGTGTGATTGTACCAGTCTCCATCGTGTGTGATTGTACCAGCCTCCATCTTGTGTGATTGTACCAGCCTCCATCTTGTGTGATTGTACCAGCCTCCATCTTGTGTGATTGTACCAGTCTCCATCTTGTGTGATTGTACCAGCCTCCATCTTGTGTGATTGTACCAGCCTCCATCTTGTGTGATTGTACCAGCACCCATCTTAAGTGATTGTACCAGCCTCCACCTTGTGTGATTGTACCAGCCTCCATCTTGTGTGATTGTACCAGCCTCCATCTTGTGTGATTGTACCAGTCTCCATCTTGTGTGATTGTACCAGCACCCATCTTGTGTGATTGTACCAGCCTCCATCTTGTGTGATTGTACCAGCCTCCATCTTGTGTGATTGTACCAGTCTCCATCTTGTGTGATTGTACCAGCCTCCATCTTGTGTGATTGTACCAGCCTCCATCTTGTGTGATTGTACCAGCACCCATTTTGTGTGATTGTACCAGCACCCATCTTGTGTGATTGTACCAGCCTCCATCTTGTGTGATTGTACCAGCCTCCATCTTGTGTGATTGTACCAGCCTCCATCTTGTGTGATTGTACCAGTCTCCATCTTGTGTGATTGTACCAGCCTCCATCTTGTGTGATTGTACCAGCCTCCATCTTGTGTGATTGTACCAGCACCCATCTTAAGTGATTGTACCAGCCTCCACCTTGTGTGATTGTACCAGTCTCCATCTTGTGTGATTGTACCAGCCTCCATCTTGTGTGATTGTACCAGTCTCCATCTTGTGTGATTGTACCAGCCTCCATCTTGTGTGATTGTACCAGCCTCCATCTTGTGTGATTGTACCAGCACCCATCTTAAGTGATTGTACCAGCCTCCACCTTGTGTGATTGTACCAGCCTCCATCTTGTGTGATTGTACCAGCCTCCATCTTGTGTGATTGTACCAGTCTCCATCTTGTGTGATTGTACCAGCACCCATCTTGTGTGATTGTACCAGCCTCCATCTTGTGTGATTGTACCAGCCTCCATCTTGTGTGATTGTACCAGTCTCCATCTTGTGTGATTGTACCAGCCTCCATCTTGTGTGATTGTACCAGCCTCCATCTTGTGTGATTGTACCAGCACCCATTTTGTGTGATTGTACCAGCACCCATCTTGTGTGATTGTACCAGCCTCCATCTTGTGTGATTGTACCAGCCTCCATCTTGTGTGATTGTACCAGCCTCCATCTTGTGTGATTGTACCAGTCTCCATCTTGTGTGATTGTACCAGCCTCCATCTTGTGTGATTGTACCAGCCTCCATCTTGTGTGATTGTACCAGCACCCATCTTAAGTGATTGTACCAGCCTCCACCTTGTGTGATTGTACCAGCCTCCATCTTGTGTGATTGTACCAGCCTCCATCTTGTGTGATTGTACCAGTCTCCATCTTGTGTGATTGTACCAGCACCCATCTTGTGTGATTGTACCAGCCTCCATCTTGTGTGATTGTACCAGCCTCCATCTTGTGTGATTGTACCAGTCTCCATCTTGTGTGATTGTACCAGCCTCCATCTTGTGTGATTGTACCAGCCTCCATCTTGTGTGATTGTACCAGCACCCATTTTGTGTGATTGTACCAGCACCCATCTTGTGTGATTGTACCAGCCTCCATCTTGTGTGATTGTACCAGTCTCCATCTTGTGTGATTGTACCAGCCTCCATCTTGTGTGATTGTACCAGCCTCCATCTTGTGTGATTGTACCAGCCTCCATCTTGTGTGATTGTACCAGCCTCCATCTTGTGTGATTGTACCAGCCTCCATCTTGTGTGATTGTACCAGCCTCCATCTTGTGTGATTGTACCAGCCTCCATCTTGTGTGATTGTACCAGCACCCATCTTGTGTGATTGTACCAGCCTCCATCTTGTGTGATTGTACCAGTCTCCATCTTGTGTGATTGTACCAGCCTCCATCTTGTGTGATTGTACCAGCCTCCATCTTGTGTGATTGTACCAGCACCCATCTTGTGTGATTGTACCAGCCTCCATCTTGTGTGATTGTACCAGTCTCCATCTTGTGTGATTGTACCAGCACCCATCTTGTGTGATTGTACCAGTCTCCATCTTGTGTGATTGTACCAGCCTCCATCTTGTGTGATTGTACCAGCACCCATCTTAAGTGATTGTACCAGCCTCCATCTTGTGTGATTGTGTCCAGTTCACGCGATTTGTTATTGTGTCATACTCCACCTTCTGTGACTGTGTCAGGCCCCGCCTTGTATGATAGTCAGGCCCCGCCTTATAGTCAGGCCCCGCCTTGAATGCTAGTCAGGCGTTGCCTTCTAGCCAGTCCCCGCCTTATAGCCAGGCCCCGCCTTATAACCAGGCCCCGCCTTGTATGATAGTCAGGCCCCCGCCTTATAGTCAGGCACCGCCTTCTAGCCAGGCCCCGCCTTATAGTCAGGCCCCGCCTTGTATGATAGTCAGGCCCTGCCTTCTAGTCAGGCCCCGCCTAAGAGGTTCTCTCTCTCCCCCACAGGCCACCAACCTGCACAAGTTCAAGCTCCACACCTACGGCAGCCCCACCTTCTGCCTTGAATGCTAGTCAGGCGTTGCTTTCTAGCCAGGCCCCGCCTTATAGCCAGGCCCCGCCTTATAGTCAGGCCCCGCCTTCTAGCCAGGCCCCGCCTTGAATGCTAGTCAGGCCCCGCCTTATAGCCAGGCCCCGCCTTGTATGCTATTCAGGCCCCGCCTTATAGCCAGGCCCTGCCTTGTATGCTAGTCATGCCCCGCCTAAGAGGTTCTCTCTCTCCCCCACAGGCCACCAACCTGCACAAGTTCAAGCTCCACACCTACGGCAGCCCCACCTTCTGCGACCACTGCGGCTCGTTGTTGTATGGCCTGCTGCACCAGGGGCTCAAGTGTGACTGTAAGTAGTTTGGTTGTAGGACATGGATGTCCTGTCAGGACATGGTCCTCTCAGGACATAGTCATGTTCGGACTTAGACTTGACTGTAAGTAGTGATTGTAGGACACAGATGTCCTTTCAGGACATGGTCCTCTCAGAACAGTCATGTTACATCATAGACTTGACTGTAGTTAGCTCGTAGGACATAGTCCTCTGAGAACATAGTCCTCTCAGGACATAGTCCTCTCAGGACATAGTCATGTTAGGACTTGACTGTAAGTAGTTTCATTGTAGAACACGTCATGTCAGGATATAGTCCTCTTAGGACATAGTCATGCTACATCTTAGACTTGTCTGTTAGTAGTTAGCTTGTAGGATACGTCCTCTCAGGACAATTGTCCTATCAGGACATATCATGTTAGGACTTCTACTATACTGTAAGTGCATGGACAGGTTGTGGGGACATGGATTGTCCTGTCAGGACTATCAGGACATAGACAGGACAATCAAGACTAAAGCTTGAATGTAATTACATGGACTTAACTTAGCTACCATTCTAAACTGTTTTAATGTTGGTAATTACTTAATTATTTAATGTATCTAATTAGGCCTAATTTAACCTTTTTTTACAAATAAATTTAAAATAATTTAACAACGGATGATGTTAAATGATTTTACTGGCCTACTAATGTATAAACTACTACACATTTTTACAACAATTTGCTTGTAGAAAACGCATGATGAATTATAGATCTCTTTGAATATAATTGTGATTTTTTAAAACCTAAAAACTAGATTCTAGATGTCTTTAACATAGCTGTAATGTTTTATAAAGTCTAACAATAGAACGTTGCACAGTATCAAGGCACTTCTTTGTTTCGTTACACAAAAGATGCCATTGTTGTGAAAATACAAACATTTATTTTAAGCTACTACATAAGTTTCCTATGTTGGTCCTCCATCTTTCTGTATTAAAAGTTAGTTTTGGTCAGCTTCCTTCTGGGTTTTGATGAATGGTAATTGTCGCCATTCTGGGATTTTTATTAATTTTAATGTCATTCGGGTATTTTGATGAATGGTAATCGTCTTTAATCGGGTATTTTGATGAATGGTAATTGCATACACGCCCCATACACATACACACCCTCTCACACCCACCCTCAAACATACACACACTCACACATACACACCCACCCTCAAACATACACACACTCACACATACACACCCACCCTCAAACATACACACACTCACACATACACACACACCCTCAAACATAAACACACTCAAACATACACACACTCACACATACACACACACACCCTCACACATACACACCTTCACACAGACACACCCTCACACATACACACCCTCACACACACTCCTTCACACAAACACACACCCCCCAACACGTCCCACCATCCACCTGTATAACCTGCAATCTACAGACCAAAATCAGAAATCTCTAGCACCCCAATCCCAGTTGACTCCCAGCATTAAGCAGCCAGACCATTCTTCCCCCCCCCCCCCCCCTGTTAGTCTCCAGACACACAGACAAGGCTTGTCTGTAATCAGCTGTTTTTTTGTTGCTGTTTTTTAATTATTTACGACCCTATTGTCGTCGTCCCCCTCATTTCCATATACATGTGTTTATATATATATATATATATATATATATATATATATATATATATATATATATATATATATATATATATATATATATATATATATATCCACGAGCATTTATTTTCCTCTACGAGATATGGCTGTCTTTTTTCTGTTGAACAAATATATCATCTCCCCTGGGCCTACATCACAACAATGCACATTGTTTTGTTTTTGTTTTTTTGTCTATCAGAAAACTGCTGGGTTTATCTGGGTTTTTAGTGTTAGATATGAGAGCGGTTTTTTTTTTAATAATTTAAGCCAGATATGTTGTTCGATCAACTTTTTGTATTTTTGTAATAATTCCCGGGTCGTTGTTTGTACCATCAACATCTATCTCTGTTTCATTTAAATTAGGATATTTTCGTCACACTCATCTGTATTGATCTATTGTATCTCATAAGCCGTTCGTTATCTCCTCAATATTTACCTCTATCAAATCTGACAAACTAAACTAAAAGAACAATTGGTAAGGATGGCCATATTTTTCAGCTTTGTTGTTCTCTTCAGCAGGTTCTAATGCTTTCTCTTATATTCCTAGAACATTGCAGCGGCTGTAGATTTTCTGTAGATAACTATCTGTATTCTATCAACACTTCCTATAACTATCTGTATTCTATCAACACTTCCTATAACTGTCTGTATTCTATCAACACTTCCTATAACTTTCTGTATTCTATCGCCCTACCTATGTTGTCTCCCATCCTACAAACTAACATCCCAGACTTTCTTTGAATCATTCCAGACTGACCCTCTATTCAACTCGGGAGCTGTATCCATTTCATTCCCTGACAACCACAATCTTCTTTCACGTCTGTCACTTCATTTTGTCGTCGTCTGCTATGGCTTGGAATCTTCTCACCTTTTATCCAATTATCTCACTAAATCTAATCAAATTAAACGAGGATTCTATTGGGAAAACGAGATGCTAAACAACACATTTTTTTCTGGCCTTAGTGCTATATTTGAAACTAGTTATTGATTATGTTGCAGGCTATGTCGATGTTCTAGGATTGGGGTTGGGGGTAGGGCGTGCTGTGTGTGGGGCTATTAGGATTGTTCTTATCTCAGCTTATGTCTGGGTTGGAGGCTATTATGTCTATGTTATAGGCCATCTCGTTCTTATATTCTGTCAACACTTCCTATACCTGTCTGAATTGGGGCTAGATAGGTATTATGTCTATGTTATAGGCATCTAGTTCTTATGTGTCTGTGATTGAAGCTAGATAGGTATTATGTCTATGTTATAGGCCATCTATTTCTTATGTGTCTGTGATTGAAGCTAGATAGGTATTATGTCTATGTTATAGGCATCTAGTTCTTATGTGTCTGTGATTGAAGCTAGATAGGTATTATGTCTATGTTATAGGCCATCTATTTCTTATGTGTCTGTGATTGAAGCTAGATAGGTATTATGTCTATGTTATAGGCCATCTATTTCTTATGTGTCTGTGATTGAAGCTAGATAGGTATTATGTCTATGTTATAGGCCATCTATTTCTTATGTGTCTGTGATTGAAGCTAGATAGGTATTATGTCTATGTTATAGGCCATCTATTTCTTATGTGTCTGTGATTGAAGCTAGATAGGTATTATGTCTATGTTATAGGCCATCTATTTCTTATGTGTCTGTGATTGAAGCTAGATAGGTATTATGTCTATGTTATAGGCCATCTATTTCTTATGTGTCTGTGATTGAAGCTAGATAGGTATTATGTCTATGTTATAGGCCATCTATTTCTTATGTGTCTGTGATTGAAGCTAGATAGGTATTATGTCTATGTTATAGGCCATCTATTTCTTATGTGTCTGTGATTGAAGCTAGATAGGTATTATGTCTATGTTATAGGCCATCTATTTCTTATGTGTCTGTGATTGAAGCTAGATAGGTATTATGTCTATGTTATAGGCCATCTATTTCTTATGTGTCTGTGATTGAAGCTAGATAGGTATTATGTCTATGTTATAGGCATCTAGTTCTTATGTGTCTGTGATTGAAGCTAGATAGGTATTATATCTATGTTATAGGCCATCTATTTCTTATGTGTCTGTGATTGAAGCTAGATAGGTATTATGTCTATGTTATAGGCATCTAGTTCTTATGTGTCTGTGATTGAAGCTAGATAGGTATTATGTCTATGTTATAGGCCATCTATTTCTTATGTGTCTGTGATTGAAGCTAGATAGGTATTATGTCTATGTTATAGGCCATCTATTTCTTATGTGTCTGTGATTGAAGCTAGATAGGTATTATGTCTATGTTATAGGCCATCTATTTCTTATGTGTCTGTGATTGAAGCTAGATAGGTATTATGTCTATGTTATAGGCCATCTATTTCTTATGTGTCTGTGATTGAAGCTAGATAGGTATTATGTCTATGTTATAGGCCATCTATTTCTTATGTGTCTGTGATTGAAGCTAGATAGGTATTATTTCTATGTTATAGGCCATCTATTTCTTATGTGTCTGTGATTGAAGCTAGATAGGTATTATGTCTATGTTATAGGCATCTAGTTCTTATGTGTCTGTGATTGAAGCTAGATAGGTATTATGTCTATGTTATAGGCCATCTATTTCTTATGTGTCTGTGATTGAAGCTAGATAGGTATTATGTCTATGTTATAGGCCATCTATTTCTTATGTGTCTGTGATTGAAGCTAGATAGGTATTATGTCTATGTTATAGGCATCTAGTTCTTATGTGTCTGTGATTGAAGCTAGATAGGTATTATGTCTATGTTATAGGCCATCTAGTTCTTATGTGTCTGTGATTGAAGCTAGATAGGTATTATGTCTATGTTATAGGCCATCTATTTCTTATGTGTCTGTGATTGAAGCTAGATAGGTATTATGTCTATGTTATAGGCCATCTATTTCTTATGTGTCTGTGATTGAAGCTAGATAGGTATTATGTCTATGTTATAGGCATCTATTTCTTATGTGTCTGTGATTGAAGCTAAATAGGTATTATGTCTATGTTATAGGCCTTCTATTTCTTATGTGTCTGTGATTGAAGCTAGATAGGTATTATGTCTATGTTATAGGCCATCTATTTCTTATGTGTCTGTGATTGAAGCTAGATAGGTATTATGTCTATGTTATAGGCCATCTAGTTCTTATGTGTCTGTGATTGAAGCTAGATAGGTATTATGTCTATGTTATAGGCCATCTATTTCTTATGTGTCTGTGATTGAAGCTAGATAGGTATTATGTCTATGTTATAGGCCATCTATTTCTTATGTGTCTGTGATTGAAGCTAGATAGGTATTATGTCTATGTTATAGGCCATCTATTTCTTATGTGTCTGTGATTGAAGCTAGATAGGTATTATGTCTATGTTATAGGCCATCTATTTCTTATGTGTCTGTGATTGAAGCTAGATAGGTATTATGTCTATGTTATAGGCCATCTATTTCTTATGTGTCTGTGATTGAAGCTAGATAGGTATTATGTCTATGTTATAGGCCATCTATTTCTTATGTGTCTGTGATTGAAGCTAGATAGGTATTATGTCTATGTTATAGGCCATCTATTTCTTATGTGTCTGTGATTGAAGCTAGATAGGTATTATGTCTATGTTATAGGCCATCTAGTTCTTATGTGTCTGTGATTGGGGCTAGGCAGTTGTTGTTGTTGTTGTTGTTGTTGTTGTTGTTGTTTTAATTTAATACTAGCTAGTCACTCCGTCTTTTTTCTAATGGCATTGTTTCTTGGTTTTATATCTAGTTCGTTGCTTTCCATTTCTTACTGTTGGACATTGAGTTGTCCTTTTCTTTCGTCATGAGTTGTCTTGTGTGTTGTGTCTATATTTGTGATCCGTTGTAAGGTGCTAATTCTTCCGTCTTTCTAATCGTCTAGCGTGTCGTAGGACCATTTTTAAAATTTCCACTGAAATAAATATTTAATTATCGATAGTTTTTTTTATTTTTTACTTAATGTATAGGTATTTTAATAGGTCTCGGGTAGTGGTTTTTAACCTTCTTGGAGGTACCGAACCCCCACCAGTTTCATACGCGCATTCACCGAACCCTTATTAATAGTTCTATCGCCTGAGAAAATCCTATCATGAATCATATGAGTCGGGTGTGTGTCTAGAAATCCGCCGAACCCCTGAGACTGACTCACCGAACCCCTGGGGTTCGATCGAACCCAGGTTAAGAGCCACTGGTCTAGAGGTTATTCGCTGGTTATTAATTTCTCTACGTTTCTAAGTGCGCTTAAAAGTAGTCCGTGGCAATCGCCCGTGTGGCGAGGGGAAAATTTGAAAAATATGCCAGATATAATTATCATTAAAAAAGTTTTTAAAAACCCACGTTTTCTGATTGAACTAAAAAGTAGAAAATAAATGCTATACATCACATTAATGCAAGCGATCACTCTACTATAAGCGATGAAAAACGTGGGGCGCCGAAGTAAAAGTTTTTTATCGGTCATTGTTAATATAAAATGTAAAAGTTATATTACTATTGATTAGATAATACTATTGACTTTTATTAGGGAGCTTGTAGAGAGTCAACAGTATTAGAAACTGTAAGAAAATCACGGCGCCCCACGTTTTTCATCGCTTATAGTAGAGTGATCGCTTGCATTATTGTAATGTATAGCATTTATTTTCTACTTTTTAGTTCAATCAGAAAACGTGGGTTTTTTAAAACTTGTTTAATGATAATTATTTTCTACTTTTTAGTCTTTGTCTGTTTGCATTAAAATCTTGCTATCGATTTTATCTTTTCGCATTCACTTTTTTTTTGGGTAAACGAAGACAACTCGTAAAAAACACGTGCCTTGAACCCGTGTCGAGTGGGTTAGCAATCGTGTGCCCAACCACTCGACCATATCGTCTCCCCCATACTGGCCACCAGTTGTTACGTTCTGGTTGTTTGTACACAAACACCGCGTGACAACTACTCAGTAAGCAAAAAGAGGGAGAGTACCGAACCTTGTTTTCATCAAATTACAATTACTGGGTTATGTCCCTTTTTCCCCACGTTTTTTGTACAATTATATAGCGGTCTAAAATGATCAATAAAATGTTTCCATGGATCAATTTAGTAATAATAACAATTTAATATTCTATTGTCATCGGAAACAAAGCTTCCCTGAAAATTTCAGCACCCTAGCTAACTGGGAAGTGCCCGAAATTTCGATCGCAAGATTTGATTGGAAAGACGCGAAAGCAAGTTAAAGAAAACGTGAGAATAAAATAATAAGCCTATACAAATTTAAAATGGTATGTTTGGTTGGTGGTCAAATGCCGGGATCTTTCTGGCTTTACTCCAGACCACCCCACACCCTATCACATGTACAAACCACGGAGGTAACTCCTTCATCAGGTTTTTTTCTTCTTCATTTTGTCATGGGATGTTTTCAACTCTATTCAGTCAACAGCAGTTTAAAAACTGGGTGGTAATTTGCCAGAGAAAGTGTTAGAAGAGTAAGCCAAAAAAAAAATTGGTTCCAAGCCTGTAATGGTTTTCATTTTTTGTATAGTTTTTAAAATTATTTTTAAGTTACCTCCCTTCAGTTGTGTCTATTGTGGAGTTTGTCTTCAGTAACGAATTTTCTTTTAAAACTCGTTTTGTGGATATTGAAGGATTGAGCTGGGATATTAGTCGCGAATAAAGATTCAGGTGTTGTTAGCGTCCGCGTCTTTTTCCTCTCTACATCATGGAGGCAACGAGATGAAATACACAGACACAATCTGTGGTCTCAGTCATTTCAAATAGGGGGTGGGGTGGGCCCGTGGGGGTTGGAAGGTCTAAAATAGGCGGGGTTTCGCAAAATCTAATGTTGGACTTTTTACAAATGTACGCTAATTCATACATGAGAATTTAGAACTGGACTCTATAAAACAAGCAAGGTGATTGGCGTTGAATAAAGAAATATGCGCACACACACACATATATATATATATATATATATATATATATATATATATATATATATATATATATATATATATATATATATAATGTAGGCCTATATATACATATGTACATATATCGATAGAGATACAGATAGATATATGTATATGTATATATACATTTATATTTGTATATATATATATATATATATATATATATATATATATATATATATATATATATATATATATATAATATTATGAATAATATTATATGAATATATACATATATATATAGGCCTATATATATATATGTAAATATAAAATAAATTTTGAAACACGTATCATTTTCTGTTCTAGCATGTGACATGAATGTACATAAACGATGTGAAAAAAATGTTCCTTTACTCTGTGGCACCGACCACACGGAGAGAAGGGGCAGAATCCATCTCAAGGCTACCGTCAAGGGAAACAAAATTACTATAGAAAGTAAGTAGCTTCCCCTTATTTATTTATTTTTCTCATAACCGGAGTCATTTTTTTTTCCTGATGTGAAAACAACCTTAGTTTTGTGACGGAAGTAAATATAGTGGTGAGGCTCTATGGAGAGCTTCCATCTAATGATATAATAGACGCTGGAACTTTCAGACATTTACCAACAACAACTGTCACAATAAGCAGATTCCTGCACTAGCCCAAAATCCAGTATCCGCCATTAACACAGCACCCAGTATCCGCCACTAACACAGCACCCAGTATCCGCCACTAACACAGCTAGCAGTATCCGCCACTAACGCAATATCCACTACCCGCCACTAACACAGCACCCAGTATCCGCCACTAACGCAATATCCACTACCTGCCACTAACACAGAACCCAGTATCCGCCACTAACACAGAACCCAGTATCCGCCACTAACACAGAACCCAGTATCCGCCACTAACACTACCCGCCACAACCACACCACCCACTACCCGCCACAACCACAACACCCACTACCCGCCACAACCACACCACCCACTACCCGCCACAACCACAACACCCACTACCCGCCACAACCACAACACCCACTCCCCGCCACTACCACACCACCCATTCCCCAAGCACACACCATCATAAAACGACTCCCACCTACACCAACATTATCCGACGCCTACCTACTAAGACAGATAACCGATGTGATTTCTTTCTTTACATGACCCCTGACCTTCTTTTGTCACACCTTTCTTCAAAAGGTCAAAGTTCATGCCCGTTGACCTGGGATGACTCTAGATGTTATTGAAATGTTTTAATGATATTTATGTTGTCGGAATGCCAGATCCCTTTCGCCTCATTCAAAGATTCCAGTAAAGACAAATCGTTTCCTTTAGAAGCTGACTGACTTGTCTAAGACGGTGTATGATTCGTTACAGGCTCGATGCTCGACTTGAAAGATGATGGCAGCTGCGTTATGCCAGATATTTTTTTTAACCCCGGCTCTGCATGCCAATTCACGGCGTGGGATGGATTAAATGTTTGTGTTTTTGTTTTCACGTGATATAGCGACTTAATCGTCTAGGAAATTACTCATGGCGTGTCGTGGTGGTGTACGAAATCTTGCCCGCTGGTCCAATATCAGCGCTAATCGATCATTAACACTAATCTATCTTTAACACTAATCCACAATTAACACTAATCCATTTCCACTAATCCACGGTCTCCTTAAACTCCACTAATCGACCACCAGTTCAAATCCATCATCAACACTAATCCACTATCAGAATAAACTCCACTAATCCACCATTAGCACTAATCCATCTCGAACACTAATCCACTATCAGAATAAACTCCACCAATCCACTATGATAATAAACTCCACTAATTCACTATCAGCACAAACTCTACTAATCCACCATCAGCACAAACACTAATCCACCATCAGCACAAACACTAATCCACTATCAGCACTATCAGCACTAATCCATCATGAACACCAATCCACTATCAGCACAAACTCCACTAATCCCCTATCAGCACTAATCCATCGTGAACTCTAATCCACTATGAGAATAAACTCCCCTAATCCACTATCAGCACAAACTCCACTAATCCACCATAAGCGGTGTCCACTCTGCCCTAATTGACCAGCTGTAGCAGATCTCGCCCCTGGGTCCACCTGTGGGAGGGGCTTGATGTCCCCTGTCACTGTCTCGGTCACGTTTTAATTTCCTCGCTCGTCATCCCCGTCTGCTGGTGGGGGGGGGGGGGGGGGGGGCTCGTCGCTAGCTTGGTGCCGCTGGCCATCAGTTAGACCATCACTGAGACAGCTGACCATACAACTGACCATCACTGAGACAACTGACCATACAACTGACCATCACTGAGACAGCTGACCATCACTGAGACAACTGACCATCACTGAGACAACTGACCACACAACTGACCACACAACTGACCATACAACTGACCATACAACTGACCATCACTGAGACAACTGACCACACAACTGACCACACAACTGACCATACAACTGACCATACAACTGACCATCACTGAGACAACTGACCATCACTGAGACAACTGACCATCACAGAGACAACTGACCATACAACTGACCATATAACTGACCATCACTGAGACAACTGACCATCACAGAGACAACTGACCATCACTGAGACAACTGACCATCACTGAGACAGCTGACCATACAACTGACCATATTACTGACCATCACTGAGACAACTGACCATCACAGAGACAACTGACCATCACTGAGACAACTGACCATACAACTGACCATATAACTGACCATCACTGAGACAACTGACCATACAACTGACCATCACAGAGACAACTGACCATCACAGAGACAGCTGACCATCACTGAGACAGCTGACCATACAACTGACCATCACTGAGACAACTGACCATACAACTGACCATCACTGAGACAACTGACCATCACTGAGACAGCTGACCATACAACTGACCATCACTGAGACAACTGACCATCACTGAGACAACTGACCATCACAGAGACAACTGACCATCACTGAGACAACTGACCATCACTGAGACAACTGACCATCACTGAGACAACTGACCATCACTGAGACAACTGACCATCACTGAGACAACTGACCATCACTGAGACAACTGACCATCACTGAGACAGCTGACCATACAACTGACCATCACTGAGACAGCTGACCACACAACTGACCATCACTGAGACAACTGACCATCACTAAGACAACTGACCATACAACTGACCATCACTGAGACAGCTGACCATACAACTGACCATCACTGAGACAACTGACCATCACTGAGACAACTGACCATCACTGAGACAACTGACCATCACTGAGACAACTGACCATCACAGAGACAACTGACCATCACTGAGACAACTGACCATCACTGAGACAGCTGACCATACAACTGACCATATAACTGACCATCACTGAGACAACTGACCATCACAGAGACAACTGACCATCACTGAGACAACTGACCATACAACTGACCATATAACTGACCATCACTGAGACAACTGACCATACAACTGACCATCACAGAGACAACTGACCATCACAGAGACAGCTGACCATCACTGAGACAGCTGACCATACAACTGACCATCACTGAGACAACTGACCATACAACTGACCATCACTGAGACAACTGACCATCACTGAGACAGCTGACCATACAACTGACCATCACTGAGACAACTGACCATCACTGAGACAACTGACCATCACAGAGACAACTGACCATCACTGAGACAACTGACCATCACTGAGACAACTGACCATCACTGAGACAACTGACCATCACTGAGACAACTGACCATCACTGAGACAACTGACCATCACTGAGACAACTGACCATCACTGAGACAGCTGACCATACAACTGACCATCACTGAGACAGCTGACCACACAACTGACCATCACTGAGACAACTGACCATCACTAAGACAACTGACCATACAACTGACCATCACTGAGACAGCTGACCATACAACTGACCATCACTGAGACAACTGACCATCACTGAGACAACTGACCATCACTGAGACAACTGACCATCACTGAGACAACTGACCATCACAGAGACAACTGACCATCACTGAGACAACTGACCATCACTGAGACAGCTGACCATACAACTGACCATATAACTGACCATCACTGAGACAACTGACCATCACAGAGACAACTGAGCATCACTGAGACAACTGACCATACAACTGACCATACAACTGACCATCACTGAGACAGCTGACCATACAACTGACCATCACTGAGACAACTGACCATCACTGAGACAACTGACCATCACAGAGACAACTGACCATCACTGAGACAACTGACCATCACTGAGACAACTGACCATACAACTGACCATCACTGAGACAGCTGACCATACAACTGACCATCACTGAGACAACTGACCATCACTGAGACAGCTGACCATACAACTGACCATCACTGAGACAACTGACCATCACTGAGACTGCTGACCATACAACTGACCATCACTGAGACAACTGACCATCACTGAGACAACTGACCATCACAGAGACAACTGACCATCACTGAGACAACTGACCATCACTGAGACAACTGACCATCACTGAGACAACTGACCATCACTGAGACAACTGACCATCACTGAGACAACTGACCATCACTGAGACAGCTGACCATACAACTGACCATCACTGAGACAACTGACCACACAACTGACCATCACTGAGACAACTGACCATCACTAAGACAACTGACCATACAACTGACCATCATTGAGACAGCTGACCATACAACTGACCATCACTGAGACAACTGACCATCACTGAGACAACTGACCATCACTGAGACAACTGACCATCACTGAGACAACTGACCATCACAGAGACAACTGACCATCACTGAGACAACTGACCATCACTGAGACAGCTGACCATACAACTGACCATATAACTGACCATCACTGAGACAACTGACCATCACAGAGACAACTGACCATCACAGAGACAACTGACCATCACAGAGACAGCTGACCATCACTGAGATAGCTGACCATACAACTGACCATCACTGAGACAACTGACCATACAACTGACCATCACTGAGACAGCTGACCATACAACTGACCATCACTGAGACAACTGACCATCACTGAGACAGCTGACCATACAACTGACCATCACTGAGACAACTGACCATACAACTGACCATCACTGAGACAACTGACCATACAACTGACCATCACTGAGACAACTGACCATACAACTGACCATCACTGAGACAACTGACCATCACTGAGACAGCTGACCATACAACTGACCATCACTGAGACAACTGACCATCACAGAGACAACTGACCATCACTGAGACAGCTGACCATACAACTGACCATATAACTGACCATCACTGAGACAACTGACCATCACAGAGACAACTGACCATCACAGAGACAACTGACCATCACAGAGACA